CTGGATTAGAGGACTGCACTGTAGCCATAGGCAATCCTGATTTACAAAGGCTCCCTTTTCAATAGCTCTGGTGAGGACTTTCCACCTGTCTTCCCTAGCTTAATTACAACAAAATGAGACAGCATCTAGCCAGAGGCGGCTATCTTTAGAACATAGAATAATAGAGTTGGAGGGGACTTTGGAGGTCTTCTAGTCCAGTCCCCTGTTCGAGCAGGAGACCCTATACCAGAGGTAGGCAACCTTGGCTCTTTTATGACTCATAGCTGGCTCAGGAATTCTGGGAGTTGAAGTCCATGAGTCATAAAAGAGCCAAGGTTGCCTACCCCTCAGGAATTCTGGGAGTTGAAGTCCATGAGTCATAAAAGAGCCAAGGTTGCCTACCCCTACCCTATACCATTTCAGATAAATGACTGTCCAGTCTCTTCTTAAAAACCTTCAGTGATGGAGCATCCACAACAACTTTGACAAGACTATGCTTCTAACATATATTAGTTGTTACAACATGAAGCTTCTAGCAGCAATAAAACTTTTGCCCATGCATTTTATAAAACTATAAATGAGGGAAATTTTAAATGTTGTTGTAAATAGTTTCAGATCTTGTATCGCTATCTCCAACAAATCACAAATTATTTCCAGGAAACTGAACGACTTGGCTTGACTAGTAGAAAAAAGAATAAAAATTTAAAAGAACATTTATGTACACTTCTCTTTATTGCTGCCAAAAATGAATTCACTCTTCTAGAAGTAAACACGCAACATATATACATGCATATTTTGAAAATGTTTGCATTATTCAGGGGTACTTGAAAAAACTGAGGACTTCTGTTGTATAGAACATCAATGTTACTCATGGAAAAAATGTTGCAGGTCTGGAAGAATATTATCTATTTTCATTTTGCTAATTATTTTCAAGCTCAGTGTATAAAACTGAATAAATTCAACTAAGTAGATTGTATGTGATAAAATATGTATTTCGTTTCTCTTTTTATGAAATAATCCCTTAATCTCTTTTGTATGTTAAAGTTGTAAACACTCTCTAGTGCCCTCTGGTGGATCTGATACAAACCTCCTATTTAGTAATCAACATAGGACAGTTTTCCCCTGTGATACTCTTAAATTGGATTTTGAAGAAGCAGGATAGGAAGAGTACAGATGCTTTGGAATGAGATGTCATCTGTCTATCTCAAGGACTGAAATATTAAGGATTTCCAATTTGAAGACCTATTAATTCCAGTATGATTCTTGTTAGCCATGTATGAAGTTGCACTGTCCCAAACAGAATGGTTCACAACTTGAGGGTCCACTAGCAGTCACAGCTTTTGCTCAAGGAGTACTTAGGAATTCTGGTCAAGAGAGTTTTAGCACAGCTCTGTCTTGTGTGAGAACTGTGATCTTTTCCTGGACAGAAAATGTTATTTACTTTCATTCATATCTTAGTCACTCTTTGACTGAACTATTGCAATGTGTTCCATATACAGCTGCCATTGAAGAACATTTATAAGGCACAATTGGCCCAGAATTGAGTGACTCAAATAGTTATGAGTGCATCTTGTGATATTCACATAACACTTATACTGCATTGGTTGACTTTTGGCTTTCAGGTAGAAATCAAGGTGCTGTTGTCACTTTTAAAGCAGTGGATGGTACATACCAGGCTTTCTTATAGGATTGCCTTTACCTAGGAACATCTGTCTACTCAATACAATCTAGCAGGGAAGGCTCCTTATATGTCCCTTTGATCAGACTGCCAACTGCCATGGAATTATGTCTTCTAGTTGCTGCTGTCTCCTATAGAACAGTATTGGCCCTGACACTGAAATGCCCCCTTCATACCTGTCCTGGCCTTCGAGAAATATGAACATTTGGCTATTTTATCAATAAAAGAGAATATTTATAGCTCAGGGTTGAAATGAGGGGTCCTTGGTGCTCTCTGAACTTGGTTGTTTTCTTGCAGATGTTTCATTAACTAAACTAGGTTTGGTTCATTAACCAAATTATATGCTGATGATGCTACCTAGTTTGGATAATAAAAGGTCTGCATGAAAACAACCAAGCTCAGAGAGCACCAAGGACTCCATCACTGGCTGTTTCATCAAAGCATGTAGACTGCCTCACTCTCCTGATCCCTCCTGAGGACGATTTTTTTTTATTCTTCTGCATATGTCTACTGGTGTTATAATACAAAAATCTTGCTTTTAAATTCAATTTGTAATGTTTTAATCCCAGCTACATACTAAGGAATTTCATACTACTCAGATTCAGCTAACTGAAGTAGCCTATAAGCCTTGAAAACAAATAGGACATATTCCTCCTACCTCAAATCATGCTGTATGCTTCAGACTAATTCACACAAACCTCTAAATCAGGGGTGTCAAACTGCCCGGCTGCAGGCCGGTTTCATCATACTGAAGCCGCGCCCACCCAATTACCAGCAATGCAAAAAGAGTCACAATACGTCGCAACACGTCATGTGACGTGGCGAGTTTGACACCTGTGCTCTAAATAGCTTCCAAGTCAAATACTATATTGGGTACTTAAGACCTAAAAATTTCTTTTCCCAACTGCTATTCAGGTACAAAACATATATTATGAAAATAGTCTTTATTACTCTAGTTTTAAGTTTTTGCATCTCTTATGTGTGTGCATACATCTTTTTTATACACACTCACATATTTTACATAGATACACATATGAACATTTGAGCCTTTTAACATCTAAATTCCCCTATTTTATTTAGAAAAAATCAAGAATAGTCTGGCAGCATCTTTCTAATTAACAAATGTTATTAAAAGGCAAAAAAACTCTTTCTAATTTTTTTTTTGCCTTGAGTGGGGCATTATTTTTGATGAGCAATATGACCCCTTTCAGTGGTATGTCATTATCAATCACTAACAGATTTCACATATCTGTTAATGGTGAAATATCAAGGCTTCAAATCACTCAAGTCTTTTTAGCAGTGAGTAGATGAGTGAGTGAGAAAATCAACTTCAAAAATGCTACTGTGTTTGCTTTTACACCAACTTCATAGATGACAACCAACAAAATTCTCAGAAATGAGTCTGCAGTCTATGCATAATACAGAAAGTGCCTCCATCAGAGAATAATACACAGAATGTCTTCAGTAGCAACATACATATAATTATGTTTAGCATATTCTCACAATCTTTTGTGAATGCCCCAATGCAAGTACACATAATCCTTAATTTACAACTAATCACTTAGTGAGCTTTTGAAGTTCTGATAGACCCCCAAGAGACTTATTACCCAATTTCAAAGTTCTGACCTCTACCCCTGTGGTCACATGACTACAATTTAAGATGGTTTTTCCAGAAACCAGCATTTACTTTCAGTTTTTGGTAAAACTAGCCCATAGAGAACAATGGGTTTGCTTAATGGTGTACAATTAATGGCCATGTTAAAAAAAGGTTGTAAAATTGGTTCCAGTCATATGGTGAACTTCTTTATGACCATTACAACTTATAGTTGTAATTACTGGCTCAATTACCATCATAGCTTATGGACTACCTGTACTATGCCAAGGAAGGATAGGGGAAAAAATGTTGTTAGTTGTTGTTGCACTAATTAGCTTCAATACATGCCTGATTCAGATATTATATTTTGGTCTAATAAACCATGGCTTTAAAAATGAGCTGTCTGCTCACATTGCCCATTCTTGCCCATTCTTCATATGCTCAGCTTAGTTTTTTTTAAAAAGTGTCCTACTTTACCCAAACAGGAAAGCCAGTTTATAAGTAACATAGGAAACCAAAATCAGATCAGGGAAATTGTGATTTTATACGATATATGAAGTTATACGATTAAAATGGACCTTGGATTAGTGGCTTTTCCCAATCCCTTGTTCTATTTGTGCACCAGAATGCAAAATGAAGGATCTGTAGTTGAGACATCTGGAGGACAACTTGAAAAACATGAGTCTAGGGAATTACCCTGCCTGCTATGCATGTAGAAGGCCGCTGCTTAATGTGCTAGGTGGTGTCATAACTGCAACTATTTTTATTCATGATTTCCCATTATTTATTCCTCACAAAATGTAAGAGAAGACTGAACTAAAAAAAATACAACATTTATTCCTGTTTGAGAGAGACCAGATGCACTAAAGGTTGCCCCATAGATCCATATCTATCAGGATTCAAGATTCCACTAAATGACACTGTAACAGCCACTCATCTGGCATCTGGCCTTGAAGCAGCTTCCTTTTAGGAACCCTGACCCCCTCCTTATTAGCGCTAAACATGCCCTGTGTCTTCCACCTGTGACCACAGGACATCTCCTGCATTTCCCGTATTGTCTCTGTCCCCTCTCCACCCTGGTCCTACCGATGCAGAGCAGAAAGGGAAAAAGGTTCTAGGCCTTGGGCATAGATGGCATAGGGTCTCCTGCCTTGAGCAGGGGGTTGAATCAGAAGACCTCCAAGGTCCCTTCCAACCCTAGAATTCTATGTTCTATGTTCCACTTGCATCAAAAGCATTATAGTTAGTTCTCAACGTACAGCCATTTCTTTAATGACTATTCAAAGTTACAACGGTACTGAAAAAAGTGATTTATGACCTGCTAATACATTTACAACTGTTGTAGCATTTTCAGTCACAGGATCAAACTTGGGATACTTGGCAACCGGCGTGTATTTACAAGGGTTGCAGCACCCCAGGGTCCTGGGACTGTCATTTGCAACCTTCCTAGGGAGCTTCTGACAAGCAAAGTCATAGGGTGAAGCAGATTTACTTAACGACTGCATGATTCATTTAACAACTGTAACAATTCACTTAACAACCATGGCAAAAAAGGTTGTAAAATGGGGCAGGACTCACTTAACAACTGCCTTGCTTAGCAATGGAAATGTTGGGCTCAGTTGTGGTAATAAATTGAGAACGACCCGTATCTGAGTTATTTGAGACACTGAAAGAACAGAAAGAACACCACAAAATAAACTCAGAATTTTATCAATTTTCTTTCCTTTTCTACTTTTTAAATTTCTGTACCTTGTAGGAGGCACATCAATGTTTGAAGATACAACTTTGCGCTTCTGTTCAAGAAGACAGATAGAACGAGTGTTTTCTTTTTCATGATCATGAATTCTGCCAAGTTTTTTGGTCTCTGTTTTTGAATCTTCTTCCTTCATAGCCAACACAAAAAATTGCTGATCTGAGAGTTTTTGATTTAGATCACTTTTTAGGTCTTCCTTTTGAAATGCTGCACAGGTCATTTCATGCTTTATGCTGGTTACCTGAAAAATAAAATACATATATTATTAGATTTCTCACAATTCATTTTAAAAGAGTGAGTACATAATGCCTCCAGGTATTGAATTCTATTTAGCAGTTCAGGCTTTCATTACAACCATATTTGCTTTATAACCATCTGAAAACCTTTTCAGTTTTTTTCCTAAAACTATTTGCAGTTCTCAAGCGTCTTCTTAACAGTTTTCATCTCTATTCTGACAAAGAGAAACAAAGGCATTAAATATGGAACTTCTCTGTGCCTCAGACATGTCTTCAGACATATATTATATTAGACTGTTGTTGGTTTATAAACTTTTTTTAAATAGCAACTCTGCCTAGAAGCCAAGTTTTTGGCATTATGTTACCATGCAAATTGTTTCTATCTGTCCCACCTGGTCAGCTGCAAAGCCCTTGATCTTTTTTCTGTCATGGCGCCCTCCTTATGGAACATCATTCCACCTGAGAATAGGTTAGCCCTGACCTTGCTGATCTGGGGCACTGGGGATATGTGATTGACTATGTTGATGGTTATTTTGTGATGCTCAGCTGTTCTGTGTTTTTATTTTATATTATGTATTTTATTTGTTTTATTTATTGTACTGCAACCTGCCCAGAGTCATATATGTGAGATAGGTGGCCACATAAAGCAAATAAATGCTATTGCAAATCTGGGGGGAGAAACATGTTACTCAATTTACAAAATTAGGGTGTGTAATTTATTATAGGTCTTGTAAAAATTAATGCTGTTGGCCAAACATGTGGGCAGCATATTTTCATACCAGATACTATAGCGTATTTTTGCGATAGTAAAAATATCTCCGTAATGAAACTTGAACAGGATACTTTGCCACTAAAAACAACTTTTTAGCAAAGAAAGAAACTGTCTAATTTTCTATTTATATTTCATTTATGATGTAACTGTGGAGTCATTAGACTAATAGGAGAAGCTTCTAAACAATTTTGATCAGGTTTCTATATTTTTTTTTATATCAGAACTGATGCTATCTTCCTACTGGACAAAGCAGACACTGTCTTATCCAAAATGATCCTGCCTGACCAGTTGGGGCATTAAGGTATTTTACTATCTCTACCATCATCACCACCACCCCTTACACTTGAAAGTCATAGGAATGTGGATCAGAAGGCAGGACTTTCTGGAGGTAACACCATTTGTGGAATATGTTGCACTTGAAGGTACCATCAGCCTTCACTCCTAATTTTCAGGAACCTACCCACAAAACCTTTCTTATAAACAAGATAGTGGTTTCATGCTGAGCTGTAGAGGTTGAGAATTCCATCTTAATTTATTATTTTACTTTTGAACATTATTATGCACTGTATTTCAAGAGATCGTTTGGCATTGTTACGTATGATTCAGAACCATAGGATTGGGGCTTATAGAATTTTTTGTAAGCAAGCAAATCTGGGCCAAGATTTATAGACTGCGGGGTGGGAGAAGCATCATTTACTATGCTTCTTAAGCAGCAAAGTCACTTGGGATTATGCTGCCACTTTTTATAATGCAGATGCACATTTTCCTACACGCTGGGATAGTGCACTCAATTTCTTATTCACATTAAGAGGATTACCATAAGAGATATTAGATTTAAAAAAAGTCAGCTTGATTTGGGTTAAAATAGTTAAGTGCAGTGTTTTTTCAAATTTGGCAATTTTATGATGTGTGGATTTCAACTCCTACTGGCCTGGAAATACTGGGAGTTGAAGTCCACAGTTTTAAAGTTATACTATTAGTTCTTGGCCCAACCCTAGTATCATAATTGCAAGAATATTCTCAGTCTTTGCAATTTATGTGTCTTTGCCTTCCTGGTTCAATTCACTACAAGAGAAAAAAAATGTTCTGAGACCTGAAGTTGCACACAGCCCTCAGAGGCCCACCAGACCAGGAATGCTGTAAACTGGAAGCATAATTTCCAATCGCTTTGAGGACGGGAACAAATGAAGAGCTAGTATTGAATTAGGCACACCACAGTTAAACATTAAAGAAAAATTTTCAATCTCATCTTCAAATCTTGCCATCCTCATACTTGTGATTTGGATCCACCCACTCTGTGGCTTCAGGCCTGCTCTAGATATTGTCCTTGAAGAAGTGACCAAGCTCAACACATAGATCATTAAACACTACAAGAGACAGATTACAGGAGACAGAATCCACAAGTTAAAGTACATTTGAGAATTCTTAAAACACTCACTTTTGGACTGTAAATCCCAAGCATTCCACCATATACCACTGGAGAAGAGCCATGTTAATTGATGCCACAAAAAAAATCAGAAGAAAACTGAACGAAACCAACAAATTTTGTTTATGCATGTTACTAAAATTTGTTAGTATATGACATATGGCAAAATCCCTACCATATGTTAGAATGAGAAATATGATTGAATGCATCTTGAATAATTTTGCTAGTTTGGGGAACTTTCTATCAAGTTTACAAAATAATTCCCAGCGAAACAATCAATAATGGCAAATAAAGTATGCAAAAAAATTGTCTACAACTTCTGATGGGCCTTGAGACCTGAGGACTTGGTTTTATGGAATTGAAGATTATGAATCTTTCTTCATAACCAAGCACCATTCTTCTGTACATGTGTATGAGTTACAGTGTTTCAGGAAGTAAGTAAATTAAAGGCCAGACATTAAAGAGTGTTGTACTCACTGAAAGTGACATATGATTGTATATACCTAAGCACAAGATGTTCAGAAACATGTCAAGATGTACCAGGCTATGAAGGGATAGAAGGTTCCTGAACTGATCATCCTGACATGTTTCTTACATTTCCTGAGGGTTTGGTACTGTCAGGTTTGGGCACAACCAGGAACATCCCAATGACCCCCACAAAGATTCATGATTTCTGCAGATTAATGAACAATCATCAATCAATTACACCCCAAGCTACAACACTGAAGTAATCCAACACTGCCTATAAAAAGAGATGAAAAAAGAAGTTGAAAGTCTCATTTTCCTTCCATCAAAGATACTTTTAAAAAGCTTTCTTGAAATTCCCAAGCCTGTTTTATTATTTGGTCAGTAATAAATAGGTTTCTTGATTCGTAAGATTTGTATGACTAAAAGACTGAATGTGGGTTTCAGAATACAGAATTTTGGTCAGAATTCCATAATTTGGGGTAAGGAAAATCTTACAAAAAAAAAAGCTACAGTGTTCAAAGCAAAGCTTCAGTGAAGCACAAACTCACAAAGTTGAGAAAAACTGCTGGATTTATTTCCTTATTGCTACACCAATTGGAAGAAATGGCTTATGTTGCTAACAGACTATAAATAGAACAAAGTATTTGAGACAAAACCAAGCTTTTATCTAATAAAGGTGATAAATTGGTAGCAGACAATGAGAATGCAGCTCAGAAGATGCAGTTCAGTTGAATACAAAAACATTACAAAGTCAATTTAAAATACAGGACTGGTGGTAAATGACACTTTTGAAGAATGGACATGAATGAAATTTGTTTGTAAGGATTTAACATACAAGGAGTCTTTCAGAAATGCTTATATCACAAGATTTTCCTGAGATGTTTTACTAGCACTAATAAACTCTTCCTGTAATTGTGGAATATACTTCACAGTGAATCTTTACTAATAGCAATGGTAACTGTACAAATACTCTGTTCTATTAAAACAAACACCTAAGAGACTATTTTAAACCAAAACAATTTCTGTACGTATTTCTTAAAATGTTTCTTCAACATCAATCACTTCTAAATATTCTTTCATTTCTTATGCCAGCCTGAGGATGAAGCAGTTTGAAACAGAAGAATTATATCAAAAAATCCTCTCACCAGGAAATCTCTACAGTATTCATGAAAAGAACCACAATGTGGTCGTCATGCTAGAAAAAGTGGTATTCTGAGCTTTCATGTATTACTACATTTGGGGCAACTCAATTTATATTTAATTTTTTACATTATTAATAATTTCTTATTAAATATATTAATTAAATATGATCAAAGCATCTGAAAAGGGTTGTATCTAAAAGTAGTACCTAAAGTAATGAATTAGGAGAATCACTGTAAATTTTCTAAACAAACTATTTGTTATATTGTATTTGTGCAATATATATGCATACAAAATAAGGAGGACATCTACATATCTACTACTGTATCTACTTTCAGAATTAACAGTTCAGGGAAGATATGAAATAAATATCTGAAAACTAGCTGTCAGCTGTGGTTGCTTCATAAAATAACTAAGCAAAGTCACACCTGGTTAGTGCTTGGCAGGGACACTATAGGAAATATCTAGACTATGGTCTAGACTGGGAAATCAAAAACAAAAGCAGTGGCAATATATCCCTTCCATATTTCAGGAGGACAACCAAATAGACATGACCACATGATCAACCAAAGGTTAAGCTCAACTCAAGAGAGACTTATTAGTAAGTAAAACTGTCTCATCTCTGAGATGCTGTGTATCAGGAAAAAAATTTCCTGACGGTGAGGACAATCAACCAGTGGAACAGCTTACCCCCAGAAATCGTGGGCGCTCCATCACTGGAGATTTTTAAGAAGAGACTGCAGGAGGCTGGACTAGAAGACCTCCAAGATCCCTTCCAACTCTATTCTATTCTATTCTACTTTCAAAACAATTTACTACCCAAAATAACCACATTCAACAACACTGATTACCAGTGATATGTCCAATCTATTCTCTGATTGCTCCCATTTTTCTATTATGAAAAATGATGAATGGTATTTCCACCATCAAGCAAACAGTATACAGGTAGTCTTTGACTTACAACAGTTCATTTAGTGACCGTTTGAAGTTACAATGGCACTGAAAAAAGTGATTTATGGCTGTTTTTCACACTTATGATGGTTGCAGCATCCCCATGTGAACCAAATTCAGATGCTTGTCAATTGACTCATATCTATGACAGTTGCAGTGTCCTGGGGTCATGTGATCACCTTTTGTGACAAGCATAGTCAATGGGGAAGCCAGATTCACTTAACAACCATGTTACTAACTTAACAACTGCACTGATTCACTTAACAACTGTGACAAGAAAGGTTGTTAAAATGGGACAAAAATAATTTAACAATGTCTTACTTAGCAACAGAAATTTTGGGCTCAATTGTGGTCCTAAGTCGAGAACTATCAGTATTTCTTCATGTTACTTGAAACTAAGATTTAGATCCTAAATGTAAGATAGCGGTAAAAGTTACTACTATAAACAATTTATTTTTAAAATAATAAACTTACAGAAATAATTTAAGTGCAATACACTATTGCAAGGGACTCATACATCCTTTGCCACTACTACCCATAATAGTAAAAGGAAATTGCTTTTATTTCTATAACTGCATATTTTTCTACTAAGGAAGCAATACTATTCATTGTACATTTCTTTTTCTTTAACCATCATGCTGAATAATTCCTAAAAAAACAATTTTGCTACAGAACATCAAAACAACAACAACAACAAAAAAAAACACCCCAGGAACGTCTGCAAAGATAATGAAGGGGTAAAAAGTTAAGATAGTAGTTGTAATTGTGCAGCTGAAGCCCTATCACTTTGTGTATGTGTATTAATTCATAAACAAAAGAGGTGGTGTTTCAGTCATGCAGTTGTGATTACCATTTGAACTTTTTTGATATCTCCATGGATGCCACTGGAAAGCACCATGGAGATAAAATCTTTCTACACACACACACACACACACACACACACACACACACACACTTCAGTAATTTTTTAAAATTTTTACTAGTTTTAATTCAGATGATCAGAAAATGGTATCTGAGCTAGTTCAGTCACCAGAAGTTAAAAACTGACTCAGTGGTGTACACACACACACACACACACACACACACAGAGTTCTTCGACATAATTTTTAGCTAGCAAATCCCTTCTTCAGCTTTCTCTAAGTAACCTGCTTGTTTACTCAGAATACCCACTTTATTTTTTAAAAAATGTCCTGATTGTATATAAATATATTGAGGAAACTCTGCTGTAAGCAGTTTAGGACAAAACAGCACTTCCACTGGGTAGTAAGTTTGCTGCACAACTTCCTTTCTCACACCATGAAAATTTGATCCTTTTCTATATGCTGCATAGCTTAGCACAAAAATGTTTTTGTACTCAAAAACTTTGCTACTTCTTGTTTTGGTCAAGCTTATTGCTGATGATATCAAAAGGTTTTGACCCTACAAGTAACTCTATGTGTCAGGAAGTATTTAGCAACCTGCATAAAAATATGCCATATTCATCAATAAATATAGTTGTTTGAGAAAAGTCTGTGGAGAAGCCAAATACAGGTTGTGTTTTTTCTCAACTTGTCCCTTTACAGTTTTAACAACATGGCTATGCTTAGCCTTAGACTGCTCTTTTAACACAGTAGCTGAATTTCACACACTTTACCAAATCATTATTAGTTATTAGTATTAGCTTCTCATAGCTTACAGCAACAAAGACTGATAATCACAATGGAGGCCAAAACAAACAAGGTATATCTTCTTAAATGCAATATATAAACTTATTATATGTCAAAAAGTTCCACTGAGTGAAAAAAAATCACATTAGGAGCAAATATATAGCTATTTACCAACTTGTAACAATAGGCCATCTTTCCACTTTTAATTAAGTTGGTCTGTTTTTGCAAAACTCACTGACATGGAATCTTCTAATTTATGCTAACTTAAGGATATGAGCAAACTTTAATTACTTTAATCATCTACCGTATCTGATTTTTTTAGTATTGGTTAAATAATACAAGAGAAAAATCTGTAAAGTGAAATGCCAGCAACATATATTATCTATTCCAATTTTTCTTTTACAATAAAATTCAAATAGCTAAAATACATGTTGAAAAACATTTTTTCTCAAAATACACAACAAAATGCAAGAAAACAAAAAAGTAAATTAAAAAAATATACAACAGGGTCACCTACATCTGAAAGCTTCTTTTTCTTAAGCATATTTCTAAACAGGAAAATGTTAACCAGTGCTGCAGCCAAAGATGCTTTCTGAATAACAACTCGTTCTGGAAATTGTTGAAATAACTAAAGATATTACTTTGGTTCATTATCTGTACAGAACCTCAAGGGTTAACCAAAACACATAGGAAATGTATCTACTTAAATCAAGAATGTTTATGGTTTTAAAAGCCAAAAATCAAAAACTTCAATTTAACTGAGCTTCAGATCCACAAGATCAAGAGATAACCTTTTGTCTATCAAGAGTTATTTGGGGCCAAATTTAGTCCATGATCCTGATTCAAGAGCCATTTTGCTTGTTCACAATACTTTACACATTTATCCTTATTAATATTTCAAATTATAAAATATATAACAATGTTTAGCTGATCTTTCAGCATCTAGTTACATTGAAGATTTTAAAATGCTGCATGGAAATTCTGACTTAAGATCCAGCTAGAAAATCACAGGTTTGCGTCAGAAATTGCACAGATTTGTTTCTCGGATGAACACACTCACACACCAACTTTCAATGCAATAACCAAGCTTTAATTTCTTTTGCTTTTCTAATATATCTTTTATTTTAATGTCATAGAATATATTAGGTTTCTTTGCATCTTCCCTGTAACCTGTATTTATCTGAGAGTAAGATTTATTGAACTTACTGTTATCTTTTGGGTGCTGTAATACACAAACTACTGCTAAGCGTGTATTAGAACTGCAGGGTTTATATACAGTTGGTTTTCCTGCACTACAGCAGTTCTACCGGCTGATGTCATTTTTACCTTCTTCCCTTTTTGGCATTCCCCTTGGCCTTTTAAAGCTTTACTATTGTTTCTGTAACATACGCTTTAGCTGCATGTATTTCAAAGCTGTGTGTGCCCACATCCCAGTTATTTTTAATCATTCTCTCCAATGGTCATTCCAAGCTTGCCCTCTTTCATCAGCCAGCCTTTTTATTTCCATTAAAATAGTTGATTCTGGATATCTACTTTGGTCTAATCATAGCAATCATCCAACAATAAATTATCTGATCAGGCACAACAGATTTGTTAAGGGGTTGATTTTTAAAATACTGTAAACAACAGCCATCTTTATTTGCACTACACGAGTTATCCGAGTTGGGGAACAAAACAGACGAATGCCAACCCTGCAGGGCTGTTAAACCAGCATTTTATTCCATCTCTTTCCTTCTTTAGATTCAATTGACCATGCATTTTAGAAATATAAAATTAAAAATGGGAACACCCCGCTCTTGCCTTTCAGAACATTTCTTCTCAAAATAAGATGAATACCGAATATGAAGTCTATTGTTATACAACCTGACTCGCACAGAAATCCCTTCTCCGGACCTAGACATTTTAGGCTGAATGAAAATCAGCGGAGGATACACCAGGGCAGAACAAGAAGCTCTTGTCCTTGTTACAAAGGAGGGGTGGAAACGGCTCTTAATCTTCCGCGCAGCAAAGACACTCTAGGTATGCTCAGACGCCTTCTGCTCGTTGCACTCTCTCATCCTCTTGCTAACCTTGACTACAACTTGGGGCTGACTTAGCCCTGCCTCAACTTCAAGCGGCTGCCCGAGGAAGGACGCCGCTGTCATCAATCACGAAGGTCCCTTGCCGAAATTCACCCCCCCCCATAACCTGCCGCACTGACCCACCCAGCCCCCGACCCCCCTCCCGCTTCCCACAGTCGAGCCAGGCGGAGCCTCTGACGGCGGGGACGCTTTTCTCGCGACGGCGACGCACCTTTAGGCTTACCCGGGCGGCCGCGTGGCCCTTGACCGACCCAGACAGCTCTTCCGCCTCGTCGGCGTCGTCGTCCTCCTCGACGTCCACCACCACGTCCTCCTCTTCGTCCTCCTCCTCGAGGGCGGCCGCCGAGCCCTCGCGCCGAGGCGGCCTCCAGGAGTTTTCGGTCTTCGCTATGCCGCGGCCGCCCGATTCCGGGAAAGGCTGCGCGGCCGAGGGCGGCCCCGCCGCGTTCAAGCGCCGGTTCCCCAGACTGGAGCGCTTGGCCAGACGCCGCGCTTGCATGGCCGCGCCCAGCACCCGCTTAGCGCGCCGCACCGAGGAGGAGTGGGCTCGGCTCGGCTCGGCTGGGCGGTGGGCAAGGCTGAGCGAGGGGGCGGGAGCGGCGGCGGCTATTGCCGCTGTAGCCGAGGCACTCGCGGCAAGGCAGCAGAGGTGGTGCAGCCGCCGTTTACAGCGGATGCGCTGGGCTGGGCAGGAAGGCCGGGCGCGCCGCTACAGCCATCGGGCGCTTTGGCCCGGCGAGGACTTAGGGACCCTGCTGGGATAGCTCCCCTCTGCAGGTCAGCGGCGCTTCCCAGATGTTGGTGAAAGGGCGGGCGAGCTGGGCGGACGGACGGACCGAGCTAGCCTTTGCTAGCCTTTCCCTGCGGCTCGTTAGTCCTCAGCCCCAAAACCCGGACTGGAGTCGCCTGCCTCTGAAATGCTAGTCGGCGGCAGTTTCGCCTGCCCGCCGCCGCCGCCGCCGCCGCTCTAGTCACACGCGTCGGCTGAGGGATTTCTGATCTGGGAGCGCCGGCTACGGCCTTCCTCGCCTCCAAGTGCCCTGAAGCGCCCAGCAACAAGTAGTGACAACAACACAACGTGCTGTGGAATAGGACGCGCGGATTTCAAAGGCAGGTTTGGGCTGGGGCAGGATAGGTCTTCCGTAATTGCGGAGAAAGCCACATGCGGGCACCAACCAGATTAGCGTAGTGATAAGAGTTTCTAGGACAGATTGGTGGAGACCAGGCGAGCATCGCACTGATCGAGTAACGACTTTTTAGGTTCTTTTTTTAGCGCTACCCCGCAACCTAGTAAGATAAGCCAAGACATTCCGATGCCTTACAGCAGGGGTAGTCAACCTTGGCTCTTTTATGACTGGTGGACTTCAACTCCCAGAATTCCTGAGCCAGCTAAACTAAGCTAAGGTAAGCTGGCTCAGGAATTCTGGGAATTGAAGTCCACGAGTCATAAAAGAGCCAAGGTTGACTACCCCTGCCTTACGGTCTTGCTCCCATTATACTCTTTTGGTTTGGGCGGGGGCGTGGTGGTGGTGGTGCCTTCGAGTCAATCAGGGACTTCTGGCAACTTTTTGCAGAAGTCCCTGCAGTTTTCTTGACAGCATTTCTGAAGTGATTTGCCATTGCCGGCTTCTTGGGATTGAGAGAGTGACTGGCCCAAGTTAAACAACTGGTTTTGTGCTCAAGGCAGGACAGTCTGTTTCTAATCTGATGCCTTAACCATTCTTAAACGGCTGAAAACATTGCCTGTATGGCTTAGGGCTAAGGTTTTTTTTTATTTGATACTTAACCTTTTGACTCATTTCAAAATCCTATGTGCCTCCGGTGAAACTCTTTCCTTGTGAATAAAAATGATTATATTACAGTCAGTTGAATAAAGTAATTTATCCTATTGTCCAACCATCAAATATGAAAAATTAGCAATAATAATTATGACTCTGAAGTTCTTCCCCCAAGAAAAGTGCTTAGCAGTTGAAGCCACACAACAAAACACAATAAACTCTACATTTCAGACTTACATCATTATGATAATGAGATTTTCACCTCTTTTGGTGTCGCTGTGGTTAATGGGCTGGAGAATCCTTCATTTGTTTTTAAATCCCAAGGAGAAATGTGAAAAAAACTTATTCCCATTGCTATACGATCATACATACATCATGTCAATACATTCATTTTGAAGTGTTGTTTTGTTAAGTATTTTTATCCCAATGCAAGGAGTGAAATAGTGCTAAGTGTACAAGCCTGTGTTTTGTCCCTACTTTTATCCCAAATATTTGTCAAATAGACAAGGACCAGATGCTATATTTTATACTAGCTGAATCTTGTAGCCATTTTAAAAAGTTTGCAGATAGGAGAAACTGCTGTACCTACTATGACATGGTCATAATTGCAGAATTGATTATAGGATCCAAACCATTTTAAAAGTCTTTTTAGAGGGCCTATAATAGAGGATTTCCTGGAGGCAAGCTACACTGACATCCTTAAAAATCTCAGTCCTTTAAAACAACCTCAAAATCATCCCTGAATTGTGATTTTAGACCCAATGTTCTGTTTTTGTGGTAATTAAAGATAGGGATAGCAATAGTTACTTGCCATCCTTAAATCACTTCAGAGAGATGAAACATGAAATGTGTTTTGCCATATTTGCCTCACATCACAGTAGTTTCCTGAAAGCTCAGGAGGCTGAGTTGCAGCCCCCAGCCCTTAAATGTTCCACATCTCATTCCAGTATAGGCCTTCTCTTGAATGATGGAACATTTTCTCAAATAAACATTCCTTTTTGGATTTTTAAAAAATATTTTTATCTATCCTTTTTTTCACATGCATCTCAAGACTGCAAACATACTGAATACTCCTTCATCTTCCTGTTTTCCCAACAATAATATCCCTGTGAGATGAATTGGGCTGAGAGAGAGTGACTGGCCAAAATTACCCAGTCAAATTTGAACCAGTGGTTTTCTGTTATTTCTAAAGTCCATATGTTTTTGTTTAAAGCAAGGGAGATTTTTCTGCTTATAGAGCAAGTCAGGTTTCTCTCATACATTCATATATACATGCAAATACATTCTACATTAGCTCATCAAAAAACTTCTTACACTTGTTTGGATGCTTCAAGTTCAAACAAGAATAGATTCTCCTTATGTTTAAAACCATAATACTGTCATTCATCTGTCATATTTGGGAAATGCACCAAATGAACAGCATTCCTACTATTAATATTGGCAGAATCAAAAAAATTCTTAAAATGAGGGTACAGGTAAACCAGAGATCAAAATTGTATTACCTTTCAATAAACAATAAACTGGTTGAAATACCATGTGCTGCATCCTTGGACATTCTTGGACGCATATTTTATGATCCTTCATATAGTCTTTCATAGGAGACTTCCATGAAAGTAATGCTCATATGCTTCACCCCAAAGACACAGTAGCTATAAATATACGGTAAATCAATTTCCTAGTCACTGGCCAGCTTTCCATCTGCCATTATTTTAGCCAACATGACCATATAGACTTGATAGAAATTGGATTATGACACATCTGGAGGTAACAGGTTCAGGACATATGGTGCACCATTAGTTAGCTGTAATTTGATAAAGGCATACTGTGGGAATATTTTCCAATTTATGAACCCTGACTGTTTTTTAATTTTTATATGGGCAGTCAAGAAGTAATCAATATCTTGATAGTTATCAGAATAATATAAATGTTTCAATGACATACAGGCTGCAATTCATGCAATATGTTCCAAAATATTATTCTCACAGACAATTACTGGCTTATTCATCTGGTAATTCAAAAAATTATATGAACATGAATGTTGACATTTTTGTCTTTAAAAAAATCTTTCATAATTTCCTCTGAATTTCCATGGCATATCAGTCAGGTTCAGGATTTCATTCAAATGAGACTTTATTTCAATTGACAAGACTATTTCACTGTTTTGTACTGCAGCTCTCTAAAGAGAGAAATTGGATTGTTCAATATTTGAAAAAAATAATCCTAATTCCTGTTATGAATCCATTACAGCTTTTCAGTTAGACCGGTCCTCCTACCGGCAGAATGCAGACTGTAAACATGTGTGGCTCTGTGAAAAAGCTAGCTTCTCATTGGTTTAACTTCTCCAGGCCTCCACTGAGCTACACATCTGAGCTGTCAGTTACTTTTATGGAGTGCACTAGTTTTTGGCGCCACATCTGGGACTGAGGTTACAATAACAGGAGCCTGAACAGCAGTGCCTAGAAGACGAAAAGCATTTGCTGAGACTGTTAGAATGTTCGCAGCCAGGGACATTTCAGAGAAAATGTTCAAAATAATGCAACATGTTTGCATGCTCAGCCATAACACTCTTTATGGTGATTTATATGATTTCTTTAAAGTATTAATAAAATTAAAATGATAAAAATAGAATGATCACCAGAGTAGGAAGTACACTCAGCATGCATCAGTGCTTAGAAGTAAATTCCATTGTGGTCAGTGGAGCTTCTTTAAGGTCTTCTAGTCCAACCCCCTGCTCAAGCAGGAGACCCTATGCCATTTCAGATAGGTGGCTGTCCAGTCTATTCTTAAAAATCTCCAGTGTTGAAGCACCTACAACTTCTGAAGGCAAGCTGTTCCACTGGTTAATTGTCCTCACTATTAGGAAGTTTCTCCTTAATTCCAGGTTGCTTCTCTCCTTAATTAGTTTCTATCCATTGTTTCTTGTCTTGCCTTTTGGTGCTTTAGAAAATAAGTTGACCTCTTCTTTGTATCAGCCCCTCAAATGCTGGAATACTATTAGTCCTCTCTAGACTGGCCATACCCAGTTCCTGCAACTGTTCTTCATGTGTTTTTTGTCTCCAGGCCTTTAGTCATCTTAGTTGCTCTTCTTTGTACTTTTTCAAAGTCTCAACATCTTTTTTTGTAATGTGGTGACCAAAACTAGATGCAATATTCCAGGTGTGGTCTTACTAAGGATTTATAAAACGGTACTAATACTTCACATGATTTGATTCTTTGCCTCTGTTTATACAACCCAGGATTGTATTAGCTTTTTTGGCTGCTGCCACACACTGCTGGTTCGTGTTTAAGTGATTCACTAGGACTCCAAGGTCCCTCTCACAGTTACTGTTTTTGAGCCAGGTTTCGCCTAATCTGTACTTATACCTTTGGTTTTTCCTTCCTAGGTGTAAAACCTTGCTTTTCTCTACATTAAATTTCATGTTGTTAGATCCATCAGTGTTACTGGAACAGCTAAGAAATACATTTATGTATTACATTTTTATATTACTGGATTCATAGTCAATTCCTTGCAGTTTGTATTTTAAAGAGTCAGTATCAATAATAAACATGTTAATTGTAAATTGTCCACATTAAACATCAATATATTATTATAATATATAGATAGTGCTTTCACCTATGATATAGCAAATGTTATCAATTAGTTAAATTCTAAATGCCCTCCTGAAAAATGTTGTCTTAATATCTCTCGTGAAAAGAAGGAGCCACAGTTTTTCCTAGGATG